GTGAGTGACCACACAGGATATGTATTTCCCAGGTGCTGAGAGGGTAAAAAGCCTAACAAGGAGGCTAACTCAATGCAACGCGGATTCAGAGATAGAAATGAGGAAACAATAAAAAAATTTGACTAACAAGAAAAGATGTAAAACTAGATTTTGTTTTATTTGTGCCAACGCGATGCAACATTTCAGATGCTTTTAATCTGAGCTTCAGAGCATCCAATCTGTTTATGTAGCTTGTTTAACATGTGGAGCGCAGAAATCTGTTTCCTGAAAATGGAAAAAACGTGCATTTATTATTTTGATCTAACAGTTGAGCTACTTTTAAATCACTGCTTATTGGAAGCAAGGTTGATGTCATGGTCTGTTTATTTTCCTTAGTTTCTAGTGTTTTCTATTCCCCTGTGTTTCCCTTTCCCTGCTGTTTTGCCTCCAGCCCCGCCCACACACACCTGATCCCTSTTKTGTCTCCCCAGGTGTTTCTGATTGTCTCTTAATTTGTTTGCCTTTATATTTGGTGTCTTGTTGTCATTCTGTGTCCGTTCATTCTGTGAGGACTGGAGGCAGAAAAACCCAGGGCGCAGGCAAAACTTAAAAGGCGAAAAAAAGCTCTGTAATGTAAACAAGAGGGCTTTTGAGACAGCAGAAAACTCACAGGAACTTCTCAGGGAACAACTTGCACAAGAGACACCTCACTAACTGTGTAGACAGTACAATGAACGGACACAGACTGAGGACAAGACACCAAATATAAAGGCAAACAAATTAAGAGACAATCAGAAACACCTGGGGAGACAAAAGAGGGATCAGGTGTGTGTGGGCGGGGCTGGAGGCAAAACAGCAGAGAAAGAGAAACAAAGGAAAACAGAAAACACTAGAAACTAAGGAAAATAAACACAGACCATGACAGAACCCTCCCCTCAATGACAGCTCCYGATGCTGAGAAAACAAGAAGGACAAGACACGGGGAAACAAGGACACAACACAAGGGGGTACGAGGACRAAACACAGAGTTCAGGGGGACGGCCAGGTGACCATCCACAGCAAGGCCCAACAGATGTGGAGCCATGGGTCGTCGCCCATCGCCACCTCATCGCCTCTGTCATCTGCATTCGCCGTCGCTGACGCTCTGGCTCCGGCAACCTCCGCCGGCTCCTCATCTGCTCCCTTCTCCTCCCTTGGCTCCTCGTCTGCTCCCGTCTCCTGCTCCCGTCTCCTGCTCCCGTCTCCTCCCTTGGCTCCTCGTCTGCTCCCGTCTCCTCCCTTGGCTCCTCGTCTGCTCCTGTCTCCTCCCTTGGCTCCTCGTCTGCTCCCGTCTCCTCCCTTGGCTCCTCGTCTGCTCCTGTCTCCTCCCTTGGCTCCTCGTCTGCTCCCGTCTCCTCCCTTGGCTCCTCGTCTGCTCCCGTCTCCTCCCGTTGCTCCACGTCTGTTGGGCCTCATTGTGGATGGTCTCCTGGCCGTCCCCCTGAACTCTGTGTTTTGTCCTCGTGCCCCCTTGTGTTGTGTCCTTGTTTCTCCGTGTCTTGTCCTTCTCTTCTCAACATCGGGAGCTGTCATTGAGGGGAGGGTTCTGTCATGGTCTGTGTTTATTTTCCTTAGTTTCTAGTGTTTTCTGTTCCCCTGTGTTTCTCTTTCCCTGCTGTTTTGCCTCCAGCCCTGCCCACGCACACCTGATCCCTCTTTTGTCTCCCCAGGTGTTTCTGATTGTCTCTTAATTTGTTTGCCTTTATATTTGGTGTCTTGTCCTCAGTCTGTGTCCATTCATTGTACTGTCTACACAGTCAGTGAGGTGTCTCTCGTGCAAGCTGTTCCCTGAGAAGTTCCTGTGAGTTTTTTGCTGTCTCAACAGCCCTCTTTTGTTTACATTACAGAGCTTTTTTGCCTTTTGAGTTTTGCCTGCGCCCTGGGTTTTTCTGCCTCCAGTTCTCACAGTTGATTCTGTTCAGATTCATGTTTTACTTGCTTCTTTGCAACACACCTGGTTTAATGGTCTAAATCAGGTGTTTGGAGCAAAGTCAAAATTTAGACTCATATATAATCTGATTTGATTCAATCTGCATTTTCAACCCTTCCTGTTTCCATCTTCAGGTTTTGAGGGACAACATGTTCGCCCAGTTCACGCAGCTGAAGAGCTTGGACCTCCAGCAGAACGTCATCTCGGTGGTGGAGGACGAGGCGTTCAGCGGCCTGTCGCAGCTCACCACGCTGCTCCTTCAGCACAACAAACTGAAAACGGCCTCGGAGGAGGTGCTGCTCCCCCTGCCCCGCCTCACCTACCTCCGGCTCTTCGACAACCCCTGGAGCTGCCGCTGCCCGCTGGACAGCCTGGTCCGGACGCTGCAGGTTCCCAGCAACCGCAACCTGGGCAACTACGCCAAGTGCGCCGAGCCCTCGTCGCTCAGGGGCCAGAAGCTGAAGAAGCTGAACATGGAYGCGTTGTGCGCGGAAGGCACGAGCCCGGGGGATGGTGGGAAACCACCACCGGGTGGTCCGCCACATAAAGTGAAGCCAGAAGCTGTTTCCATCTGCACCTATAAACACGCTAAACTTCTGGACTGCAGCAGCAAAGGTCAGTGTTATAAAATGACACACTGAMACAGTAACATAACAGTTTATGTTGCTGATGACTATCTGATCAAATAAAATGCTTTGCTGAAGAGTATTAAAAAACTCTTTTTTTAGTTTGCTTTAATCGTTTGTCCAGTCAAACTGGGCGCAGAAGTTAATTTTACAATCTTGTGTTTTGGTTAGAGCCCAGACAGCGAGGAGAAATGTTTGTTTTTAGTCGGCTTGCTGAGTGAGGAGAGCCAGCCTCTGTGGATGGAAAAGATTTGGCTCTGTCTTCTCAAACTGMTGCTCTTTGTTACGATTGAGCTTGGTTGATTAGAACCCCAAGATGCAGAACTGAGTGAGGTGGCAAAAAGTGATTTATTAAAACAAAAACAAAGGTGCTGACGTGGCAGCAAACAAAAACAAGGGATATGGGCAGGAACATGAACATCAAACAGAGAACAAGGATCTGACAAAGACTGAGGACAAAGGACAGAATATAAAGGAAGAACTAATGAGGTAAAACAAGAAACACCTGGGGAAGAAACATGAGGATCAGGTGTGAGTGGGCGGGGCTAGAGCAAAGGCAGACAGGAGGAAGAAAACAGGAGGAAAAGACAGAAAACTTAGACTAAATCATAAGCACAGACACAAATCATGACACTCTTGGTGAAAAGATTTATGCAATCAGAATTCAGGCTTCCTGCTGTTAATTGTAATGGATTATTAACCTAAAGCTGTGGTTTGGTTCTACAAATGTGGATTTTTTTTAAAGGTCAAAAGATCTGAAATATTACTTTAACTCCTTTGACCTTTGATTATTACACACAGCTGGAATCCATGTGTTATTTTAGTAAACAGGAGTTGAAAAGTAATTTTAATGAGCAGAGTTTAGTTGTTTTTATGCTAGAAATTTACTGTTCCCCTCAAGTTTATTATGGAAACCTATGTTCTAATTTTCTACACTTTTTCTGCTTTCAAAAGACGTTAATGAGCTCTGTTTATTTTTTGAGTCATAGATTTCTCAGCAGCTCGATGTAAGAAGCTGCGTAAAACGTAATCAGACATTGTTCAAAACTAAAAAAAAATTCTATGTAAATCCTCAGTGCTGAAGCACTGCTGATGTTTGTTGTAGAAGGTGAAACTCAGTTGTCAACTAGCTCAATATAAGCTAAATGTAGCAACATTAAAAGCTGAAATTCACCCATTAGCTAAAAATGAAAAAAAGCAAAGTTGTACCTAAATGTTAAAACCACAAATGGTAGCTTAAACATAAAGTTAGCACAATAATAGCTAAAMGTTAAACAAAATTATAGCTGAAAACTCAAATGAGCAAGACAGTAATGATTATAACAGTAGCTACGAGTTAAAATTATCACAACAGTAGCTAAAAGCTAAAATGATCATAACTGTAGCTACATGCAAAAGTGATCATGGCAGTAGCTAAAAGTTAAAATGATCAGAACAGTAGCTAAAGGCTGCAATTTGMAAAACTGTAGCTAAAAACACAAAGGTTGCAAATCAATAACTATAAGCTAAATTTAACAATACAGTAGCCAACATGTAAATGTAGCCAAACCACAGACAGAAGCCTAAAGCTACATTTTGCATAACATTTGCTAAATGTAGCTAAAACAAAAAAAAAAAAAAGCACAATAATGATCAAAGCAAAAAACTTGAAAGCTTAAATTTAGGGAAAAGAAGTTTAAGAAAAAAAATCACTCGTGTCACTGAAACCAAAAATCTAAATAAAGTTAAAGGGGCAATATTATGTGTTTCTCAGGCAAATATTGCAATTCTATACCATAATAAAATAACTATGTAACCTTCAGTTGTTAGTAAAATGCTGTTTTTATCTTTAAATAGAAAATAAACTTGACTTCTCATCATATCTGTTTCTAAACGCCTTGAAATTGGCCTCTGTCTCTTTAAGAACCTCCTTCCGCTTCTGTCCCACTCATTTCAGCTCGGGGCGTTTGGGTGTGTGTGCTCTGTGATGAGGAAGGTCAGCTTGGAGACAGCCCAGAGGAGGAGCTGGTCCCAAAAGGCGGTTCTAGGCCCAACGGGTCATTTTTGCTCCCCTGTCTGGCTGCCTCAGGACACTACAGGATTTCTCAAACATGTATGAATGAGTCAAAGCAAGACTCTGGGCATCTTTTTGATTGAAAGGATAACAACACGATATAAAACTCAAAACAGTTGATTTTACATGATATTGCCTCTTTAAATATTTTAAGGAGTGTGAATGATTCAAATCCAAACGTCAAAGCAACTATCTCTTGAACTAGCTGAAGATTTTGAAACCTGAACGAGTAAAAATGGCTGACTATGCTGAAAACAGAAAAAACAAAAGTGTGACAATATAAGAAGGAAAAGAGCTGCTTCTGTTTTCTTTCTGCTCTATTTATTTCCCCCTCTGCTCTTGTCTCTGTGTGAAACAAGACACTGTGGGACAAAATATTTGTGTCGTTTCAAGGACATAATGATAAGAGTTCCTGAAGAAACACAGATGGATCACTCCTCTCTTTCTCAGCCTGATAAATTCATCGCCCTGAAATCAAAGACTGTTTGTCTGGGAGTTTTGCTGTCATTTCTAAATGGAGAGTTTTATGACTTTCAGAGAGAGCAAACCTTCACAACTGCAAGCCAAAAAAAAAAAAAAAACCCACACAAAGCAGTGTTTGTTGCTTGAGGAAGCTTTCTGCATATTTTCCTAATGATTTTCTTCTCTTTCTACTGTTAAATAGTTGAATCATCTCTTTATCTGGACCACCACAAGGCTCCTCTGTTTTTCTCGCAGCATGATTAGCCCATCAATCTCTCTGCCTTTTTCCCTTTTTAATATTAACCTCCCATCCTGCTTCCGTTTAAACCCAGGCTCGTGAATGAAACGAGTTGTATGATGTGCGAACGCTGCTTAACGCGCTGCAGCTGCTGTGCATCAGATTTTAGAACATGGCTGTCGGTGTTTTTCACTTGAAAAGGGGTCGAATGTATCGCCGCTCTGTAACTTGTTCCCTCCAGTGAGATTTCCTGTACAGAATCAGAGGTGATCTATAACAACGCAGGTTCTCAGTCTGAACGCTTGCAGATGGATGAAGACGTCGCTGGCATGATATGATAGGATGTAGCCTTGAAAATATCAGCATATCTGGCACTCGGCTTGTGAAAGCTATGAAGTTTTACATAAAACCCAATAATTCAGTCTGATTTTATAAAACCAAGGTCAGCATGACTCCATTCTCTGCATATTGCACAATGCAATTTCACTTGTAGGCCCCAGTATTACGGGGAGCAAAACAGCTCCATAACATGATGCTACCGCCGCCGTGCTTGACAGTTACATTCTTACCTACCTCACCTGATTTAAAAGCACTTTAAAAAAACGTATTTAATTTGATCCCAATGGATTTAAACTTGGTTATATATTCCCACTCCCTCATTGTGGTGATGTCGAGAAAAGAAAATACCCAAAACAAACAAAAAAAGCACAAATTAAACATCTTCCACCAACTCCTTGWACTGAAAAGTGCTACAGAAACTCACCATGTGTGTTCAGTTACAACAAACTCAATTAGAATTGTTGCTTAGAAACTCACCTCCAGAGTTTGTTTTGGTTTTCTTTGCCTTTTGAGACTCAGCTCAGTAAATCCTTAAAAAAGGCTATTTAAGATTTTTCTGACTTGAGGCTAATTTTAAAATGAAGCAGGAAAGTGATGTTTATGAGTCGGCTGCTCATTTCATTACATGTCTCATCTTTTTTTTATATTTTCTGGATCATAACGTTTTGCGTCTTCACGAGATGACCTGATGTTGAGTTTTTTAGATGTCACTGCTCTATTATGTTTTGTCAACACCATATTAAACTTGTTTTTTCACACTTAAACTGCACAAAGTGATTGATAAAACACGACATGTCTGTCAAGTTTTCATCAAATAGCCAATCCTTATGACACTCCACACATCTGAGCTGCAGAATTATGTCAGCACTGTAAAAAAAAAAACTTCCTTCTCTGCTGCCTGAGAGCATGAAGATGTCATAAGAGCTGCTTCCCATTTGGATGTCTGTTTCATATTTTGGAGGAGGTGATAATGATGGAACCTCACAAAGACATTTTATTGGAGAGTTTTAAGATTTTCGGGTTATGCTCCTATAAATCCTGCACAGCGCCATCCCATTCCATCAAAGCTTATTTCAGCATTTTTATTCTCTCCTTTTCCTTTCGAACTGAATGAATAACTCACTTTTTTGTTTGTCTTTGAATTTCAACTAGGGTTGGGCATAATCGTATTTTGTGCAATTAATCGTCAGAAAAACATTGATCGATTACTTTTTGGCACTTGACGATTAATCTGATTAATGCAGACTGACTGGGGATTACTCTGGTCAGTCTGCTCGGTGCTCTTCAATGCTTTAAAGATGAACATTAAAAATAAAGTTCTGTAATTTTTTTTATCTATCAACACTATTTAAAATTTGATGTATAGCCTGAAATCTGTAATTTTCACACAATTTGGAACATGTTTTTTTACAAAGAGCAAATCTTTCCCACTAAATTGGTCATGTGACTACGAACTAAGGGTGTCCAGGGACTCCAGGGGATTAATTGTCAAATTAATCGTTATCGGCTAAAYAACAATTAATCGTGATTAATTTTTTTGCCAATATTGCCCAAGCCTAATTTCAACCAAATGTGGCAACTTTGAGAGTTTTAGAAAAGTTTTTAAGGTTCAACAACACCACCTGGGACTTCCACCCCAAGAATAAAACTCAAAACAAGGCACTTAGGCTCTTTCTACAGATTACAGAGACTGTGTTCCAAAGTTAAAATATGAATTTATTACAATTGTTAAAACACGTCTGAGGCAAGTAAAAAAAAATAATAATTTACAGTGATAACTTCGTTCAGGCTGAGGCGTCCTAGTCACGGTCAAAAAAA